TCTCTGTCTTTCAAGAGGAATGCACAGCAGGTTTATTTTCATAGCAGCGAACACGAATTAATGGGAAGACGTTTTAGTTTATATAAACTTTTTCTTTCATTTTTCTTTTTCCTTTCTTTCTTTTTTTATAAGTTTTCATTGTGTTGTAATTGTATTTGCTACACGAGTCCTTTGTTTGCACAGAGGATTTAATCACTAACTTTTTCGATCCGACACCTGCGATTTTTCATTTTGTTTTAATTTTTTTTATATTTTTTACATGCGTATTCCCTATTAAAATTTGGAACTGAATCTTCAACAAAACTGATGTGAAATTAAAGATAAAAAAACAATCAAAAAACATGAAATCTCATTTGTACGTTTGTTTCCATGTTTGAAATTCTTTTCTTTCCATTATCAGAGATATCTTGCAAAAGACTTTTTGAAATCAGGATTTTTTTTTTTTTTTTGGTGGATTAGTACAATTTTGAAACCAGAATTTTATTTCGAATTACATACCAAATGTCAACAACGAATATAAAGCTTTACAAATACAAGCAAACCTTTTAATAATAATCGTAAAATTATCCTGAAATTATATATATATATATATATATATATATATATATATATATATATATATATACACATATTTGAACTTTATTTCACTCTTTCATGATCCTTAGCTATGATTAATTAATAATGAACATATCATTGTCGTTTATGATTGATTTCATCACGAATCTTCTATTAAGCTTAGAGAGTAATTATACACTTTTATTGCTCAAAGTAGATTCATATAGTATTATAAAAACCTCAGAGAATTCCAGTAAGATATCTTTAATCATTTCTAACATACAATGGTTCAGATATTAATCTAACAAGTAGACAATTTTGTTGTTACACCCGTTATAATGGTTCATTCTAGACTTGAAGATGTTAAGATGGTATTGGACAGGGAAGAGACCGCCTGCAGAATCCATTCAACATTTCAATAGAATATAAATGAAAAAAAATAAAGATATATCACCAAAGCGAATATACTTAGTATTTCACTTCTGAGTTGAGATGCATTTATTATTTCGAAATATTGTTCCATCGTCTTGGACGACATAAATGTTATTAGAGCCAAATGGAAATATTGTTGTCATTTTAATCGATAGATGTTATTATAGCCAAAAGGTAATACTGTTCTCATCTTGATCGATACAGAAATTATTATAGCCAAATGAAAAGACTGTTGGTGATAGATGTTATTATAGCCAAAACGAAATAATCTTTAAATCTATAACTCAACTAACTTACATTAATTTTAAGGTGTTTATGTTTAAATCCCGCATCACTTATTAATAATATTGTACACCTGTAGTACAAAAACTAATTACTGTGAATCCCAGAAAAAGACATTCGGGGCCCGTATAACAAACGCCCCATGGTAGGAACTAATATAGTAGGAACTGATATTAAACTACAAACAAAAAAGTTTCTTGCCATAAATTGACTTCAGCCCCAGACCGCTTCAGCCAGGATAAGATATCATACGCCCCCACCAACCGCTAACAGAAACCCATTCTCATTAACAAGGCATCTACCAGAGGAGGACTGATATTGAAAATAAATTTAAAACAATGCTTGAGACGCAGACACTTAGAGACTTAGACTATCTCTATGTTGAGGTATTTTTTGGTTTCTTGCTGCAGTATATATATATATATATATATATATATATATGAATAAAGGCAAAAGGGAAACTTGTCTTAGCCGACGTGTTTCGTCCTCTGATGGCCTTTATCAAACGAAATACAAGTGCAAAAATCTAATTGTTTTTTAATTTAAAATCTAGAAATATTTCATCTGAAATTTTAACGCGGACACACACATATATATATACATATATATATATAAGATAAAGAATAATATATATAAAAAGATAATAATTTTTGCCTGTAAGGATATATATATATATATATATATATATATATGAAGAAGTCTTAAGATGTGCTATATTTATGGGATAAAGTACTCAATATGAGAGATGGAGCGTGTATAAATATAAAAGTAACCATTGAAGTTAACACTTAGAGGCGACAGGCTGTTTCATGCTAGATGCAATCGTGGCTTGACGATTGCATCTAGCCTGGAACAGCCTGTCGCCTCTAAGTGTTGACTTCTATGTTCACTTTTATATTTTTATATATATCAGGTCATCCTATGAGTTCTGTCCGAATAAAGAAAACATATTCTGTTGAGTTCTGTTGAATAAAGAAAACAAGTGACCAAATGTTACATTTAATTACAGATTCAATCAACAATGTATTTTCCCTGATTATCTATGACTTCCTTCCATCTATTAACAAGCTTACTAATTCCATTACTGTAAAATTCTTTTGGTTTTGATTCGAAAAACTCACAAATGTCAGTTTTAACCTCTTCCTGTGTTACAAAAGCTGTTTTATCCAAATGATTCTGTAAGCTACGAAACAAATGATAGTCTGAAGAAGAAAGATCGGGAGAATAAGGTGGATGAGGAATTTTCTCCCAACCAAGTTCTTCGATCTTTTGTGACGTGATTCTTGCTGCGTGGGGTCGCGCATTGTCCTGATGAAACATCACCTCTTTTCGATTCACTAGAGCAGGTCTTTTTTTCCTCAAAGCTTGGTTCAAACACTCTAACTGCTGACAGTATATTTGAGCATTAAATCTTACATTAGGTGGTAAGAATTCAAAGTGGATTATTCCTTGGCGATCCCACCGGATTGAAAGAACCTTTTGCCCATGAAGTTCCCTTCTCGGATTTGGCTGTCTACGATGCTTAACATTTCGATAAAAGATCCATTTTTCGTCGCCAGTCACAAGTCTATCCAAAAAAGGTGAAACAAGTTGGTGAGAATGGAGAGAAGAGCAAATGTCAACTCGGGATTTGAGGTTGTTTTCAGACAATTCATGAGGTACCCATTTTCCAAGTTTAGGAACTTTTGCAAGTTGTTGAAGATGACGATGAACAGTTGTATGGTTTGAACTGAGAACCACTGCCAATTCCTCAACTGATAAAGGAGGGCTGCTTCAAGAAGGTTTTCATCAAACTCAACTGGACGTCTGGTTCGATCTTCATCTTCAAGGGTGAAATCTCCACCTCTGAATTTGGCAAACCATCTTCTGCAAGTTCTTTCATTCACACATTCCTCTCCATAAACTGAGTGAATGTTTCTAGCCGCTTCGGCTGCTGAGTTTCCTTTCTTGAACTCATAAAGCATTATGTGCCTCAAATGATTCTTGTGTACTTCCATGTTAGCAGGCTTTTAATCAAACAGAATTTAATTTTATTGTTCTCTGAAATAACATTTGATCAGTTTAAATGCATCTAAACATAAAAATAATGTTCAGCTCTATTAGACATTATAAAATACTCTTTAAATTTCGTTCATTTAAAAAAAAATGTAAAATTCGGACAGAACTTATGGGATGACCTGATATATATATATATATATATATATATATATATATATATGTGTGTGTGTGTGTGTGTGTGTGCGCGCGTGCGCGTGAGTGTGTGTGTTTGGTTACGCACGCGCGTGTAAGAATTTCCTACAACCGTAAAAAGACAACATGAATAAAGACAAGAGGAATAACTTATCTTAGCCCTCGTGTTTCGTCTTGTATGGGAATTTTGGAAGGCAAATGTGATTTTTGCCTTGATAATTCATTCAGAGGACGAAACGCATCGGCTAAGTTTTCCTTTTGGCTTTTTTCACACACACACACACACACACATACACACACACACACACATATATATATATATATATATATATATATAGAGAGAGAGAGAGAGACAGACAGACAGACAGACAGACAGACAGACAGACCGTGAGACAGAGAGAGAGAGAGACAGGCAAAAAATGAGTTACCAAGGTTAAAAATCAATTTCCTTAATTTTTCTATGCCAATTGTCCTAACCAGTTTGAAATTGCTAACCGTTCGCCTGATCGCATGACGAACTACATTTATAAGGCGATAAATTCCAGATCAGATGTAACTCTCGAAAATGTTCAATAAATAATTTAACAGGCCATATTTGAATACGTGTATATAATGAAGGATATAAACCCAAATATACTTTACATATATATATACATATGTATGTATGTATGTATGTATGTATGTATGTATGTATGTACGTACGTAAGTATTTATAAACGTATTATTTATAGACTTTTCAAATACTTTCATGTGTTTTCATTCATTCAATTATTTCAATTAATATTCCGTGTTTTGCCTTTCAAATAGCCGGCAAAATGAATTAAATATAGGCGGGTACGAATTACACTATTGTAGAGCTCTTTATTCAAGAAGGTTGAAAAAGACTTTAGATTAATTTTCGCGTTCCAAATTAGAACTCGGAAACAAAAGTGAAAAGTAATAACGGAAAGTCAGTCAAACTCTTCATTCGCATATTGCATTACACTTCAATAAATATCTCTTTTTTCCTTTTATTTCACATAAAGGATTTTAATTCAGTTTTGTCTTTTGAATTGATATTTTTATTTCAGAAATAGAAACTGCCATTTATTTAAACGATTTGTTAATGTATTCTGGTTTCATTCTTGTTTTCCTTTTGTTTCATTCAGAACTTTGAAGTTTCTCTTTTACAAGTCTATTTATTTTTATATTCTTAAATCATTTCTAACAAGTTTTTCTCTTGCTTCTTTTTCTCGATTTTCCATTTTCTTTTTACTGTCGTCTTTTTGTTTTTCGTTCTTTTTTTCTGTGAGGTTTTCTTCAAATCATTTCAATTCTTTGTTTCGTTTTCATTTCTTCGTTTAAAAATACTTTTAAAAATTTTCAACTGTTGTTATGAATAAAACTAATTTATGCGTAACATTAATTATATAATAATAATAATAAAATAACTTAATCATTCATTTTTTACGTGTTGGTTTTTCTTTCAACTTTGCCGTTTTTATTCGTCTTTACTTTTGTGAGTTTATTTTAAACCTTTCGAAATTTTTCGTTAAAATTCATTGATTAACTATTTTTTTTTCAATTATTGTTTAATTTTCTGCTTATATTCTCTGATATACTATCTCTACTTATATCTATCTATCTATCTATCTATCTATCTATCTATCTATCTATCTCGGACTGCTCTTATCTGTTCTCTCTCTTTCTCTGATCATATGTATCTATCTGTCTATTTATCTCTCTTTTTCTGCTCATATCTGTCTGTCTGTCTATCTATCTATCTATCTATCTGTCTGTCTGTCTCTGCTCATATCTATCTATCTATCTATCTCTGTTCATATCTATCTATCTATCGATCTCAGTCTGTTCATATCTATGACATTTCTGCTCATATCTATCTATATATCTATCGCCAAATATATATGTGCATGCATGTATGCCTGCAAACATGCATGCACGTATTATTTTTTCTTCTTTTTCTTCTTCTTCTTCTTCTATGTACCGTATGTCCTCTTGACGCAGCCGATCATCGTTCTCTTCTATCCTTCGTACTTCTTAGCAATGCTTGTCATTTCCCTCTCTCTCTCTCTCTCTCTCTCTCACTCTCTCTCTCTCTCTGTGTTCTGCACTCCAAGCTTGTTTTAAGGTTATTTGCTTTTTTTACCATATTCCCTACTGAATTCAATATATCCCTTAAGTGTCAAATTGTTCAGGGCTCATTTTCTCATGACCTGTCCCAGAATTATTTACACTTTCTGACTTTATGTATAATCGTCCTTTTTGTTTTCCATTTTCTTTCCTTTTTTCAAAACTGCCTCGTTACTTCCATGGTGTTCTCAGCATCCTTCTGTAGCACCACATCTCTGTTGCTTCAAGTATCTTCTTCATCTGTAAAGAAATTGTTAGTAGTATTAAATAAAAAATATATTTATTTGGCTGAAGTTGTAGAGAAAGCAAGTAAAAATGACACGGGCAATACTGCATGAATATCATACAAACATCCAAAGAAGAATCAGTAATATTATTGGTCTTCATCTGGCGTCTCGGCTTCAATCACTTTCTCACCGCCGTAAGGTTGCATTTTCTATAAATACTTTCATGGTAATTGTTTGGATGTGTTCTTCGCTGTTTCCTAGAAGTTGTGAATTTTAAGCGCAGTACTGGATTGACGACGAGGTCTCTCACCAATTTACAGTTGAGATGGCTAGATGTAACTGTAAATTCTATGCTTTCTTTTCTCGCACTTGTCGCTTGTGGAACTTCTTTCCGGCTCTAATGCATCCCAGCCAACCTTAATCTGCAAAAATTTTAATTTAATCTCAATCGCTATCTACTACCCTCCTCATTAGTCTTCCACTGTTCATGATCCTTAATAATATTTCTAACTCTTCCACACCCAGTAACCCCTTGTGTCTCAGTGGCTTCATTGCCTTGCTTGGAGTGAACTCGATTTTTTAAAATGCAGATAGATTCGTAACATGTTTACCATTATTTTATTGTCAAAAGATGTTCTTAGCATCCGCAATTTTATAAAAAAATCAAATGTTCTTTATTTTATTATTCCCATAAAGTTATTTTGATTAAATTCTGTGAATTTTAATTCTTAAGTAAATGTCAGCTACTTCGTTTAATCAAAGACAGATTTGTGAGAGCTGTTTGTGAGGAGCGGGCGTCATCTGCACTCTTTATTCTAAGCAGTTTGCTATTGCTAACGAATTTCATCTTCCTGTCCTAATATAATTGTCCTTATTTTTCCCTTCCTTAGTTCGCACCACCGTTACGCCCTGCCAATATAAATAATGAACTATTCTGTTTTGGCAGCGTGTAAAGAGGGGGGAGAAAACACTACTTGGTTTCAGTGAGAAAATGAAAGATAGCAGGGGAGATGATGTGGAGACAGAGAGAGAATTAGGTTTCGCCTGTGGTTTTCAATCTTTTTGCTGGTGCGGGTAACCACAAGGAAACATCCCAGTGGCTCGAGGAACCCCTGCAATAAATTAATTGTCTTATGCAAAAAAAAAAAAGCTTTCGATTATTAAAATAAAATAAAAATACTCATCTTCAGATTTATTTACAAAAAAAATACAAAGATTAAGTTTAGGACCTTTTTTTATTCATTCTATATCTGTTTTGTTATTGATTTAGTGGAGGTACCTAAACACACATATCTGCACAGGAGAATTAAAAATTACTGTCAATCATAGTACTTGTGTAACTTCTTGCAGAACCCCTGGCCTTTACTGGCGGAACGCTAGGGTTCCGCGGAACCCTGGTTGAAAATCACTAGGTTACGCTGATAAAAACGGATACTACACTTTGATCTCAGTCACAAGGCCGAGAAGCGGACATTTTTCAAGATCAGTTTAATGTGGATTTATCGATAATAACATGGGAAAATTGCCCAAGCCCCCATCGGCACTTTCCCTTTTGTAGACACCTCAGGCACCGGGCAATAGACCAAGGACCATCCCGAAGGAGAGGTAATATCTGGAAGGAATGTCTCTAGGGCATGAGCATAATATTATTTGAACCTCCCCAAGCCAAAAGGCAAAGAAGCGATGGGCGGACACTATGAAATTGACAAAAATCCATAAACTATCATCGTCTTCTGAATTGTTTTCAAATTATTATGAAAATAAATGTTCGTAAGACAGGCATTAGGCTAGAAAGAAAGAAAAAATTAAAAACAGATATATCCAAACCCATCGTAACCCACGAATATTAATATCAAGATATATATTTCAGCTGTCTTCCTCTCCAGTTCCTCGTTAGGGATATTGTTAAGCCAATAAGTATTACAATTTTTTTGAGAGCCGCTGTTGCGAAAGACAGAAACTACTTTCATGTTTTTTTCCCCTTCATTCGCCATTATTCAGAAAAACATCATCATCATCATCAGCAGCAGCAGCAGCAGCAGCAGCATAACCATCATGATCATCATCAGCAGCAGCATCATCATTATCATCACCGTGCCGGGCTTTCTCGGCTTAGCTTGGATTAAAGCCATAACAATTTTTTTGTTGGAAAACACGAGTATCCTGTTATAATTGCAATTCCCCGCCTTCGTTAGTTCGCGCGACCGTTACGCCCTGCCAATACCTCATAAATTATGGACTATTTCGTTTCGATCGCGTGAAAAAGTGGGAGGAGACACCACTTGGTTTCAGTGAGAAAATGAAATGAAAAAGGGAAGAAAATAAGGATTAAGCTGATTAGAACAGATACTACACTTTAATCTTAGGCAAAAGGCTGAGAAGCGTTTGCGACGAAGATAAAAACGTCATCTTTCAGACGAACAGCATCGAACGACGGAAACCGAGGAAGGCAATGGCCAAAAATATAGTTACCATAAAGAAAATGATTGTCTGCTTAATTATTTTTAAATTATTATCAATAGTAATGTTCGTAAATCGGGGATTTGGCTAGAATGAATGAATGGATTGTTTAACATCTACTGCCAATATATCATAAATAAAAGGACTATTCTGTTTTGATTTCCTAAAGAAAAAAGAGACAAGTTACTTGGTTTCAGTAAGAAAATGAATGAAAAAAAGAAAGAAAGGAAAATAGAAGTGCCTAATGGCTGTTTCAGTGAAATGAAAAATGTTGTTCATTTGTACACTTCTTAAAATAATGACCATTATTCATGTTTATGATTGTTATTGTAATATTTAGTTAAACACAAATATCAAACGATGTGAAAAGGGAATTTCTACAGATATTTTATTGTCATAGAACTCAACATCAGTTTATTCATTAACTGAAGAATAAAGATTCATCAACAAAATTCAGATAGAAAATCGAGGAATTTTCATGCGTTTAGTTTATTTATAATAAGCTTAACTACGTTGGATAGATTGGCGTAATGGATAGTGGCTCGGATTGAGGAATCGGAGAGTCGAGATTTACAAACGCGTTCGTTTCGTTCAATGAAGCAGTGAAGTTATGGAGAATAGTAGAAAGCATCCAAGCGGGAGTATGTTCCACAAAGTGGAGGTTCTTGAAAAGCTTTCCGAGTTGAACCTTCTTACAATTGGAATGCGGGAGGTGGGGTTGAGGGTGTTTGTTGTAAAGGTCTGAACTGGTTGAAACTAAAGAAAATTGACCATGGAAATACGCTTAGAGTAGCAATAGTCTGGAGACATTGCGTCTTTGGAAAAGAGGTTACTATGCGGAATCTATATCATACTCTACAACGTCAAGGCTGGAAACAGATTATTCGGCATCTCAAGGCTAGATATAGCAGCAATATTTCATTTTCTTTTCTTTTTTATATCTAACTTGACGTTTGTAAAGAGCCATATATAAATAACCTCGTCATTTTCAGGATTACAATGTTAGCTGTTGCCTTTGAGTAACAGATCTTAAAAATTGTGAATTTGTGACGGACGTCAGTAAGGTATGTGCTATGCGTGATACATGCTTAGGCGATCATGTATCTTTCGATACATGACTGACGAGGCAGATTTTTCTTTCTGCTGTAGAACAGTTATAGAATCTTCCAGCTATTTACCCATAGCTGGAGGTGGGGGAGAAGAGGGTTCATATCTTTTCCAAGCACGTGAATGTAATGGATTTGACTGATAGGCGCAATCCTCAGGCTGCCTGAGGAAAACAGCCTGTCGCCTCTGAGTGTTGACTTCAATGTTCACTTATATATATATATATATATATATATATATATATATATATATATATATATATATATATATATGCACCGGGTGTGACAGGAAAATAGTCCAAATCTTGTAACAGCATGGGATAATTGTCCATCCCACAAAATGTTTGATATCTAAAATAAATCACTAAACTAATCGAGTTTTTTCCCGGTTTTTAGATAAGACATATAGCCATCTTGACACCATTTGTCGTAAGAATCACTTAAAAGCACATTGACTTATTCAGGTAGAAAGAGAACAGGTTAAAATCGTTTTGTGCCAACCCCTCTATGTCTCAACTGAGCAATGATGAGAGGAAAAATCATTCAGACCGTCACTATTGGTATAAATGACAGTTGGTTTTACTAGGGTTCTTAAATTAGTAAAATTATTTAATTTATTTTCCGGGAAAAATTAATACTTATTTAAAATAAATGCAATATAGTTTTTCTGCTTATCTTTTCTGGTTTTTTTTTTTTTATATACAAGAACCCATTTCCCTTTTCGTTTTGCGAGAACTATAAACATATCATAAGTCCAAACGCATAAAAAAAAAACGCCATTAAAAAGAAACATAAATTTTTAAAAATATGAAGTCCTCTAAAATTCAATTAAATTAAAGAAATTATGTGGGATTTTTATCAAAGTAATTTTCTAAATAAATCAACTTTTTCAAATTTTATTGATCTTTTGCGAAATTGAACGAAACGAACGAGTTTGTAAATCTCGACAGAAAACGTTAGCAATTACTTCCACAATACTAGATTCGCTGAGGACTTCGATACGTGTCAGCGTTTAGCCAAAATTTATAGTGTAACAAAATCAAGCAAAACAGATACGTTTCAGGTGATCTATGTATTATATATTTCATGTGTTTATGGTAATTGTTCTGATGAGCTTTTGTGCTCTTGAATGCAGCCTTAAAACATCTGCTGGCATCTGGATGTAAACATAGCTTTTTTTTGGACTCTTTGTGGCTTGCGGGGACGAGTCTGAATTATTTCGTATGTGAATAGGTATAACATTGTGCTAAATTACTAATATCTAATGAATAACAGCCACAAATATTTAATAACACGCCTAAAATATGAAAATTTGTTGTGACAGAAAGAAAAATATAACCTGAGAGTCGACAATTTGGACTTGTTAGTAAAGTAAGCTATGAAGGCTTCTAGAACAGTTGCGTACTGGACATTTGCCTCACGGACAATTGCGTACCAGACAATCGCTCCCTTGGACATTTGCATCCCTAGATAAATACGTCCCTGTATAATTGTGTATCTCTGATAATTTTTTTAAGTTTTTAAAGTCAATTACCATAAATTTTGAAAAAAGCATAAATCATAAATTTTTAAAAAAGGAATAAAAAAATAAAATAAATTAAAATTTTATTTATGTTTAAAATGCAATGATAGATTAACAGTTTTACAAGATCACTCTACACATCGTCCTTTTGTTTTAGTTTTATCGGCGTTTTTCTTATGATGGTGGCAACTGTAAGTTTCCTTGTCCACATATATTTTTCCACCAGTGTTTGATTTTCGGAATTTAGCCATGAGTTCCAAATAAAAATAAAATCTATAAAATCCAGAATCTCTTAGATGTTTGTGGTACGCACTGGTGGAGTGAGCTGAAACTGCTAGATTAATTTTCTCTTGCTTTAAAAAAGAAATTTTTCCGGTTTTTTTTTTTTCTTTAACTACCTTTCTACTTGTTTAGAGTAATTAAAGGTATTGATCTGCAAATTTCTATATTAAACAAATGAAAAAATAGTAACTTCAAAAAATTGTCACAGGTACGCAATTATCTTGGGATGCATTTATCTAGGGACTCAAACGTCTAGAAACAAAACTGACTAGGGACGTAGTTGTCTGGTACGCAATTCCATCGCTAACAAATCCTTAAAATTTTTTCCCTAAAAATATCTAATTATACGTCGCGACTTACCACAGGAAATACAGTAAATCGTTCTAGGTTGACACAATAGGTAGGTAACATAGTTTAATTGGTTCTAAACGTGGGAGTATGGAATTTATAGGTGTGTGCTTCATTTATTAACCAATCATATGTCCTTTAGAATACACTAATGGCGTGATATTACCATAATCACTGACTTGCGGCTGCCTTTTCTAAAAACCTGACATGACTCTTTATCGGTACAAACCCCAAATTATAAATGATCAAAGTCTTGGCATAGCAGCAGATCTCTGCTCTTATCTAGCATTAACAGCTCAAATGGGGAAAATTACCGTATATATTTCAATAACTTCAAAATCAAGTTTACAAGCAGAATTTTTCCACTTATAACGATAAGTTTTATTAATACAAAGGGAATGGGAATGATATACCCACACTTGGGTACTTGGGATTGTGGGTCCCAAGTGTAAATGTAAGGGATGGTGGGACTAAGGAATCTAACTCATCAAAACACGGAAATAGCAATGGAGTAGCGGGAGGCGTTTCGTCTGTAAGAAATGAGTTGTAGTGTGGGAGATAATCAGTGGCTTTTGAACTCTAATCAAAACAGGCACCACGTAAGAACAGGGCATTATCAGCCCTGGTATGGCATTTGGATCTGTTCTGCTTCCTGTAAAGATAGAGTATCGGAGGGGAGTCAGTTGCTTACTGAAGCGCTAAAATAAACCGACCATGTTCCCAGCATCTTTAGCAACGGATCAGGTATATGGGTTCTACTTGAAGTCGTGAAGAGCTTGAGTTCCAATAGACGTTCAAGACAAAGAGGATCCTTTTGAGAACACCAATCCATATTACTAGTTTACCGTAGTAAGTTTAGTCTTTCACCCATACAACCTGGTCTAAAGAGAAGAGATCAGCTTTTTAGAGTAAACGGCATTTTTGACCGGCCTGCGAGACTGATTCCACTCTATTTTTACATGAGAGACGAGGTTTCGAATTGATTATCTGCCAGTTATCTTTCATGAGACTTATTTTATTTTGCGTTGGTTTTAAATGGATTTGTTTGACCCTTGGCTACATTAAAAAGATAACAGAAGGGGTGAAAAGAGACCAGGGAGGGACTGACATGATAGCAGAAATAAAGACAGTTAAACATAATTTTCCTTGAATTTTGATTAATGGCAACTATTTGTACTGTATGTATGGGTATATGTGTCCGGAACAATTTTCAATAACAGTTTCAAACATACACGTCATAATTTCATCCATTTCCTTCGGTTGATTTTTTTACTTTGAAGTATTTTGACGTTCCTTGAGGAAAAGTAATTTTTGTTAGGTGTTTGTTTTTTAATTTTAGATTTTCTTTTGTTTTCTGATTTTCAATGTTTATTTTCATTATGGTTTTAAAGATTTAGGTTGACAGGGTCTGAATGTAATTTTCCTTAATTTTTCATTAATGGCCTTCGTCCCCTGCGACCCGTCATTTTAGATTCGAATAGTGTTTTAGATTCTAGTCTTCCTGAATTTTAAACTGGTGTATCATGCATACTAAATGTGATTTTACAGGATTCGTGAGCGGGTGTTAAAATAACAAATATAAAAGCTTTTTTGGCAATATCCATTGATGAAGTCAGGAGTGTATAACGACCGAAACGTTGTGATAATGGCGATAATGATGAGCACAAAAAGTCCTGGTGTAAATCATGTAAAATAATGATAAACCAAACCAAAAATAAATATTTTATTTCTATATTTCTTTTATTTTTACACTTTTTCGTATTTCTTGAATAATCTGATGTCGCTATATGGCTTTTAACTAATATTTTTCTTTTATTTTCTACGGGTGATTTTAAAATCTTTATTTACGTCCCATGTGCAAAATCTACAAACAAATCAAAAATTTTTATTTTGAGTTAGTGGTTCGAGTGATGTAGATAAAACAACATGAGTCAATTTGAAATTTACTCTTATATGTTGAGCTCGTAAACAGATACTGACATATGAAGGAAATGTGAAATAATAAATATTTGATTCTTTTTCTTCTATTTTCTTTTAGCTTTTCTTTCTTTTTCTTCTTTTTACTTATTTTATTCCCAAGCGTTAGTGATATTTGATGATCAGTTTGAAAATAGCCATCGCTTTATTAACGCGGTCGATTTATGTTGCTGCTTTCACTCTCTCTTACCTTTTCTTATTTTTCCTTCATTCCTTCCTTCTCTTCTTTTTCTCACTTTTACTTTCCCTCCCCCTCCCTTCCTTCCTTACTTCCTTCTTTTCTTTATCTTTCCTTCCATATTTCCACACTTCTCCTTTTCTTTCCATCTTTTCTTCCCTCACTCTTTCCTTCTTAGTTCCTTTCCCCCGTGTTACTCCTTTTTCTTACTTCACTTCTTTATTACTTTGCTTTACATATAGCCATCATTAGCTTACGGTCAAATCACGCTGAAAACACCGGTTCTCGTTCGATCACCGAAGTTAAGCATCGTAGAGCCAGGTCAGTACTTAGATGGGGGGCCGCTTGGGAACACCTGGTACTGTAAGCCCCCAAAGTCCAACCCTTACCTGACAGTCGGTGGGGGGGGTGTAAACGGTAGTGTCAGAGCTATGCCGTCCGGAACTTCGTTCCTGGTAGGGCCACCCAAGGCGGACAGGTCTGACACACAGGCCGGCTAACAAGGGCTCTGGTGAAAATCCAAGGAGCGTCTGCATCGGCAACCGGCGGCTTCTGGTCGTTCCTGTCTCTGTGTCTGTTGGAACCCCGCGGCAAGCAAGAACGTTATCCGAGTAGGCCTGGGTACCCTACTTCTGTAATTTATCCCAAGAATCTTCTTCTCACAACAGGAAGAAGCCGGCTCAATCCGCCCAGGGTGAATGCCGCATCACACACACATAGCCATCATTCCTTCTATCTTTTTTCTACATCGATTCCTTCCTTCCATTGTTCACTGCTTTCTTTATTTATTTATTTTCCGTTTCTTTCTTTCTTTCTTTCTTCTCCGTTTCTTTCTTCCTTCTTTCCTCTCCGCTTTCTCTCTGTTTCTCCTTATTTTCATTTCTTTCTTTTCCCTTCTCCCTCATTCCCTCTCTCTCACTCTCTCACTCTTGCTTTTTCGTTCTTTCTTTCATCTTTTATTCCTCCCTTCCTTTCTTGTTTTTTCTTCTTTCTCTTCCCACTTTCTTTTCATTCTTCTTTCTTTCTTTCTTCTGTTCCATCATTCTTTCCTTCCATCATTCTTTCATCCTTGCCTTTTTTTTTTGTTGTTCATCTTTTCTTTACCCCCTTTCCTTCGTCTTTACTCTAATCCTCCTGCTTTCCTTCTCTCTCAGCAATGTTTATTCTTTCTTTTTCTGTCCTCTCTTCCTTGATTTCTCTTTCTTTCCTTTTGTCTTTCTTTTATCAGTTCTTTCCCTGCCTTATTCCTTCCTCTTCTTCTCAGACTTGCTTCTTCTTTCTTTTCTCTGTGTTCTTCTTTTCTTTCTTCTTTCTTTTTTTCCCCTCACTCTGCTGTTTATTCTTCCTTTCTTTCCATTTCTTTTACTTACTTCTTTTGTTACTTCCTTTTTTCCTCCATTTCGCTTCACTCCTTTTCTTCCTCACTCCTCTCTCTTCCTTCCTTCCGTTGTTTTCTCCTTCCTACCTTCGTTTTCCCTTCCTTTCTCAATTCCGTTCTCTCTCCCTTTCATTCCTTCTCCTTTCTTCTTTCATTCCTTCCTTATCTGCTGCTGATTTACTAATTTTCCATTTTCATTTAACTATCAATCATTAAAAGCAATCGAATTTTATCATTCGCATTTTCCGTGTAGGAATAAAAATAAAATTTTGCTTTGACGAATAAATAATGGACAACTGTAGTCACCTTCACAACGAATGGCTACAAAAATGCATTAAGTTAACGATATTATTAAAATCTCTATTCACGACGGTGATTTCGCACCGGAAGTAATAAATGACAGAAAATATTAATTTCTTTAAACACTTTTCTTCCTTCTTTCTTTGCATTCCTCTTTAACTAACACATCGTATTCTTATTTATATACACACATATGTCTATAATTCGTCGATATTCAAACAGCTTAGAATCTGACAATGCTAAACAGAAGAAAACGGTACTTGGACGTTTGGCCGACGGACATTTAACCAAAAACGTACTTGTATGTCACACTCTTTATCGTAATGTGCTACATATATTTATTCACTGTATTAATTTATGATTTTTCGTTTTTTCTAACAGGCTTTTTTAACTCTATTCTGTATATATTATATTTTACTTCAAATATTACTGCAAGATGATAAGTATTTTGAGAAAAAGCACATTTTACTCCAGCAAAAATCTTAAGCGTTTACGATATGAAAGACTTTCAATTTCACTTTTAATGATCTTATCTTAAAGAGATGAACTAGCTTTTATGTTACTTTTAAATACGAATTTAAATAATTAGCTGCTACTTTTTACCCAAATACACTCAAATATTTTTTTAAAAAGTACTAATTTCAATAAACAAATATTGAAATAAGAAAACTTTTAAATTTAGTTTTAGTAATTTAGTAGTCACTTGCAATTCAGTGTTAATTATTAGTCCTATTCTACTTTATAATACTGCTAATTAAAATACTTAAAGTATTGCTTGTTACTATTTTTACTTGTACTTTTTCGGTGAAATGTCCATTCGACCAAATGTCCGTCAGCAAAATGTCTCTCGGTCAAATGCCCGTTCCGCCGAATGTCCGTCAGCAAAATGTCTGTTCAGCCAAAAGTCCGGCCCCGGAAGAAAACAGTAAAAGAAAAGTTGCATTATGTCACACTTTCAAGTAGGGAAGGTAGACCTGTCTATTCGAGCAGCGTTTCTCAACCAGTGCGCCTTATAAGCTAGCCAGAGTAATTTATGAATTATTTCTATATTTAAAAACATTTTCTTAAAAAAAGCTAGAAACAACAAGCATATGGTTTCATTTTTTAAGTCAAGTCTTTGTCGTTTGGTATTTTAAACTGAATCCTAAATTCCTTAATCTTTAAGGAGTGGATAATCTTTTCCCTTTAGCCTTCCTCAAATTATCGACCCCTCTAAAAGAAAAATAACAGATTCTTAATAAATCTATTTAAATTCAAATTGTACCGTTAATTTTCTTTGGGAATCTTAAACCAAAATTTCATGTTTTCAAATTTCATGACTAATTTTTCCTTATTAAATTCAAAGTGCACCCCAGAGTTTAAGTTATTCATTCTATAATTATACCCTGAATAAAAAGAAAAGACTGACCAAGAGTATTTGTGTTCGAAGTTGTGGCTAAATAATAGATGGCTACTCTTTTCTGTGTACGCCTGCCAGCTCAGGCGACTCTTCAAATCCCTATTGCAGACGCTTGCTCAAGCAAATTTGAATTTGTTCAACACCTACAGAACTCAGATATGGCGTACGTTGCAGCGTTACCCACCTGATATTAGTTACAATTTCTGTGAGAGTTGTCCATCTACAATTTGAATAAGGCCACTACGCTCAAAGCCTCGATCACTATGACTTGTTACTTCGTGCTAGTAAGCACGATAGCATCCCCCGATGGCTTTCGAACAATTCCTTCTATCCAATTTCAATCACAAGGCTTGCGTCAACCCGTGCTATGGTTTGAAGGTACTTTACCTGCTTCTGACTACTTGCTTTCCGTTTAACTTTCAACTTCAAAACATTTAAATGTAATTTCAACTGATATCTTCTATCTTCATTATTCTTCTTTCTTCATTGTTCTCTGCTTTTTTTTTTTCACATATTCCTTAACACTCAGTAATCCCTCTCGTATTAGCAGCTGTATAGCCTTACTTCACGTGAAACGAATAAAAAAAATCTATCAAACGTTGAAATATGTTAAGAACGCTACCCCAGGCCGATAACGTCAAGAGGAAGATTTCAGACCAGACATCCTTCGTTCTAACCACTGGGCTACACGTAAGTAGCTATATAACTTGGTCGGCTACTCAAAATATTACGACAGGATTACGTCTACCAGAGCTACCTTTGTATCAGCAATAGTTCAAATATGTCTCTATATATGTCCAAGTTGCGCTTAGTTTCGTTTCCTTCAAGGCCAAAATATGGGACACCCAGTGAGGATCGAACTCGCCACTGATTTGTTTAGAAATTCTAAGAAGATAATTTTCACTCGTTACGAGTTTGAGTTTTTGTTGTAAGCTAGTGTTGTTTTGTTATTTTCAATGTTATTTTTGGCATGCCGTGTTTTTTTTGTCTTTTTTTTTTTCGAATAAGATGGACGGTAAGATACGTGTGTATTGTCATCTTTGGGTAGCAATGACACAAGGATTCACTTTGTGAAAAACAATACAGTGGGGACAAATGTTCAATTTAGCTCCACAATTATAGCCATGTTGGTATGCATCTACAACTTTTATTAGCAGCATTCCTCAATGAGACCACGTATGCGTCTTCTTAGTAAAAATACCATGTTATTGTGTTTATTCAATAAAAGCGATGGGCACCTCGAGTTGGGATAATGGTTAGCAAGCTTGTCTAGCTAGAATAATTACGACTGAATATTGAGTTCGATCCTCACTGGGTGCTTCTTTCTTTCGGCCTTGTGCCACATCTAAGCTACGCTTGGAAAATCAATATTCAATAGAAGCGACTACAAGCATGGGTAAGGTGACGCGAAGATAGTCTAGTTCATCATTACTTTTAAACTGTGAGTCCGGGTCTCACTAAGGTGCCCCGTACAAAATTCGACATTCGAAGTGCTGGCATGTAAAATAAACCCACCAAAAATGGGTGTGGTGTAATCGTATTAGTGTGGCTAGTTTACTTGATAATTACTACTGAGCAGTGTTTAAAAGACACCCGAGAGGCTATTTTCCTCGCACGCTGCAACGTTAACCTCTTCAAGTCTAGGGTTAACTGTTACATATACAACATTTCCTCATAATCTGCATCATAATATTTCATAACCACGTTTAAATACCCTCTAGATTGATTCTTCGGGCTTCAATTAGGTGAATATTGAGTAAAACAAAATAAATGAGATCTCCAGACTTCAACACAAACAACAAGTCTAATGTTCGAATGGAAAGATATTTTACAGTGTATCGTTACCAATTTCGACAAGGGAAGTCATCGTTTCGGCTATACGAACAGTTCCCCTTGTGGCAATATGGGAAACAGGTTCGATTCCTGTCGGGAGGCACATTATTCTCTAGTGGAATTTCTCGGTCTAGGTCGGTTGATATTAATTTCAATGCTTAAAAAATTAAATAAAAACAGTGTGTTCATCTCAAACAGGTGTACTCATTAAAAATGAGGTTTAAAGAAATATAAGAAATTCGCATATAAATATAAATATATATATATATATATATATATATATAGTGCGATGCATAAGTTATTGTCTAAATAAACGCAAAAATGAAAATAACACTGGCATCTCATTTTAACAGATATATTTACCGAAATTACACAAAAATATCTTGAAAAACTAAAGATTAAATTTATTCAATTAAAATCGCCATTGGCTTCAACCCTGCCCTGCAGACGACTTCAGAATTTTCTGCAACTCTTATGATCAGTTTCCTAGTTTAAGTTGGTGAATGCTACCACAATCCTTACCTTGTTCATCTTTGGTATTACAAGGAATTTTGTTGGTCTCTCATTCAACTGCGCCCCAGTCATAGTAATAAAATGTATAGTCTATTAGTTATTAAAAGTAAGAATAACATTTAAAATTCAGGGAAGAGATTTTAAATATTAAAAATACGACCTACTCATATTCAACCGAACCTTTTGAGAGAATTTTTGTGTATAAAATTAGAAATTAAACGGCAAAATAAAGATGCCAAAAAAAAAAACTCTATGTCAATAAAAGAAACCCCAGACGACATGCGAAAAACATGCTATCATTTGTTGATCAGTGACTCCTACCCTACTTTAACTTAACCTGATTTTGAAAGTAGCTTAGATTTAGATAGAAACGAATACCCTAACACCCCTTATTAATAAAGTTTTAAATTTCCCATTGCCTTGACAACTAATATCAACATTGTATATGCTTATAAACTCAGTAAATTTCAAAATAAGTTAATCCAGAAAATTGCTTGAAAATGAATCAGAGATAAAGAATTTAAATTTAATTCTATAATTAAATTTAAAGTTTAGTTTCTGATTTGAAACATGGTAATTCCTGTTTAGAGATGGAACCATATTTTTAGATTAGTAAATTTATAATGTTTAGGCTCTACTTAATTTTATTGAGCACTGTTTATTAAAAATAAAAATAATTAATAAGAACACCGGATTATAAATCTTACTGTCCTTTCTCGTTATTTTAAAAGCCATACATTTGCTCTTAATTAAGTTTGAGCACTCTAAATCTTTATTTTTAACAAAAACGAAAAAATATTGGAAAATTAATTTCGAAATTTCTCTGAAGAACATTTCTGATACCAACAAAAGGAATTATTTCGTTATACTAATGCAGAAAGCAGAAGAACTCATACGAAGGATGAGATGGAGGCCATACTTTTTCCTCCACCAGAATAACTTATCAAACAAACCTTTAATAGTAAGAACGCAGCACGGTTCATTCAAAGTTTATCTGGATTTGAAAATGATTTATTAGAAATAATAAATAACATAAACTTCCAAGAAGAGAAAAGCTATTTCCAAAAACGTCTGGACACATTAGTGAAAGATATTAATGCAACTGATAAAATTTTAATGAAATCGGATAAA